TTTTTGTTGAAATCTATATTGTTTCGTAAACCATTATAAGCCTTATATTGTTTTGCGTATGTTAGAACATACACGGTGTCTACTCATTCAGCCCGTTGTCATCACAATACCCCGTGAACACGGCCCGTTGTAATATTCCCGAGAATCATACACATAACACCGGTGAACACGGCCCGCGCCTGTTGAAAGATTCCCGAGAACCGTACGTACACTGAACACGGTCACAAACTGATGAGGATTCCAAAGAACCATACGAACAGATACCAAAGTCTACCGAAGATTGCCGAGAGCCGAACAGCGACTCCCGAACGCTTTGAACAGCTTGTTTTAGGTACTATCGATTCGAGCAGCGGTTTTTCGAACGCGTTCTGGTATCTGTATCTGTATCTGTATAGCAAGTATAACCGCCTTTCGGCGTAACACACCAGTTTCGCAGACACGCGGCGCGGCGGCAGCTGACTATATTACACCTATCGACTTGTTAAACCTAACCCTTGAACTTCTAGCTCTAGACTTTGTTTAAAGCTATCTATTGACAATGCCCCTACTGTACTTGGTGACAGTGAGTTCCACTCTGAAATAGTTCTAGGAAAGAATGAATTCTTGAACACCTCAATCCTTGGTTGATAACTCTGGTACTTGAAGGCATGGCTATTTCTTGTTCTCTTTTGGGCTGGTATTAGATACTTAGTAGTTGGGACATCCACCAGTTTATTAGTCATTTTGTACATCATGCATAGTCTGGACATCTTTCTTCTGTCTTCCAGTGAGGACATGTGTTGAGTGCATTATTCTCGGGAATCTTTCAACGGACCGTGTTCACGGTGTTCGTGTTGTGTGTATGATTCGGGAATCTTTCAACGAACCATGTTCACGGTGTGTTGAATGTATGATTCTCGGGAATCTTTCAACGGGCCGTGTTCACTGTGTTCGTGTTGTGTGTATGATTCTTGGAATCTCGTACGAATTGCATAGTGAAAGTGTGTTCAGTTACCTAAGTATATAAATAAAGCAACTGAGATCTCAACAAAACTCGGTGGCCTCTATATACCACCAATGATCAAACATGATTTGGTTCTAAAGTAAATTCGCAATTCAACCGATTAGGACGTTTTGACTGCATACCGTAGACGTTTCAGACACAAAGCGTAGACGCAGAAAATGCAGGGTTGTATGTAGATGTATGTAGCGTTGCCGGCCGGAGCTTCTATTGCGTGCGATCTACGTTTGATCAAAAAATTGTTTTACTACATTTCAGGGGATGCTGAGGGATAGCTGGGTGCCTTTGGCGTTGCGGGAGCGCGCCAAGCCGAAGGGGGTTGTTGAGAGGAAGCCGGTCTGCGGTCAGGCGTTCATGATACATTCATGAAATTCCCCAGGTAAATAAGACCGAAAAGGCATTTTTGGCTCAAAAATAGGAAATCGCTAAACGAGGAGCCTTTTTGCCAAAATACTAGTACATTTATCAGGTGTGCAATGACCCACCGACATCATGTATACAAATTGGTGATGTTGCAGCATAATTTGCATATCTGACAACGAAAAAGCATTTTTGGCTCAAAAATAGGAAATCGCTAAACGATGAGCTTTTTTTTCCAAAATACTTTCATCAGGTGCGCAATGACCCACCGACATCATGTATGCAAATTGGTGATGTTACAGCGTAATTTGCATATCTGACAGCGAAAAAGCATTTTTGGCTCAAAAATAGGAAATCGCTAAACGATGAGCTTTATTTTTCCAAAATACTTTCATCAGGTGCGCAATGACCCACCGACATCATGTATGCATATTGGTGATGTTGCAGCATAATTTGCATATCTGACAGCGAAAATGCATTTTTGGCTCAAAAATAGGAAATCGCTAAACGATGAGCATTTTTTCCAAAATACTTTCATCAGGTGCGCAATGACCCACCTACATCATGTATGCAAATTGGTGATGTTGCAGCATAATTTGCATATCTGACAGCGAAAAAGCATTTTTGGCTCAAAAATAGGAAATCGCTAAACGATGAGCTTTTTTTTCCAAAATACTTTCATCAGGTGCGCAATGACCCACCGACATCATGTATGCAAATTGGTGATGTTGCAGCATAATTTGCATATCTGACAGCGAAAAAGCATTTTGGCTCAAAATTTTTTTCTGAATAAATTTTATAAGATTTTGAATGGTCCTTTGACATCAGGTATGTGACTTGGTTTCATAATATTGAAGATGGAGCCGGACTGTAATGATCTTTTTACAAGATTTACCGTCATGTGGAAAAAAATTCCTTTGCTGCAGTTTTGAACATTTCCGCTAGGAAGATTTATCCATTGTTTGTTAACGAATTAAATGAAGGAAAGGCACTGGAAAAGCTATTGGACAAAGGAAATATTAAACTAAGATAATTTAGTAAATTTATAGATCACCTTTGACGAATACAACATTTTCAAAGTCCAATAATTCATAGAATTAGCACTGCTTGCTTTATACGCGTTGCAGTTCTAGTATAAATCGCTAATTTGGCTTATTTGCAAATATATCTAGCAAAACGCATCAAAACATCTTTTGGAAGAATTCAATACGAAAATAAGACTTTTTACTAGCATTGTAGACATGCTTGATGAATAATATTTTTTAACTCGGTTTAACTCGGTTATGGTCGCCAATAACATTGTATTAGCGCCACACTTTTGCAGCCAGCCAAAATTTACGGCATGTGGATGATCTATATCTTCACAACGAATAACTCGAGAGCAGATCTTTTAGTATCACAGTTAGATCAATACATAATCTTAGATTTGTGAAAGTTTCGTTAAAAAATACCGCTTTATTCTTGATATATGTGTATTTCTGAGAGATGCGGTTTAAACCGCCCAAGCATGTCTATCAGAAACGTAGTAGTTAGAATGCGTCACGGCACATTGTAAGACAAAGATCGTGTAGAATTCAATCTCTCATAGGAGATAACGGATTTCGTTCAAAATTGGCCGAAATAAATGTCCTTGACATACTGACATATGAATCTAATGTTTTTCATGAGAAAAACGTAAACCTGGCTCATTTTGTAATGTTGCACTTTCTGCTGGCACAAGCGCCTGGTCAAAGTTGAGGACGGGTGGATGAATGGTGACCAAACCTATCAACGCGGAGCTAGAATAGTACAGGTGTCCATCATTGTGAAAGTTTCGTCCCGAAATACGACCTTATCCTTGTGTTAGAAAGACTTAAATACACCCTTTTGTTAGATGAAGTTTGCAAATTTACCCAGAATCATCAAGTACGCATACAGCATTAGGCCAGAACGCATGGGTGTCCACATCTCGCATAGGTTTATTATAAAACAGATACGACTTCTAAACATAGAACTTTCGTAAGTAAATATGAGTACCGATATACTAAGCTTTCGGATATTCGCTAACGGAAAGGGTGCACGTGGGAAATGACGTTACATTTTCCACATTGAAGCGTCTCATAAAGAGATTTGGGGATAACGCAGAAGTTACAATTAAAAAGGACATACTGTTATGTAGAACGCATTGTTACGTCCGGCGTAATCTCTTATTTCATTATACTTTCTTTCTTATGTTTGTCGCCTTGCAATTATCCCTCGGGCAATAAACCTAGATGCGTCCGCAATTGGAGGAAGTACGGCACTTCATGAACTGCTACAGACCAGACCCCATTTTCCTTCAGAGAAGTTTGCACAAATGATTACCATTATCCGTTATGGAAAAAGAGGGAAGTCAGATTTTAAGGCCGCGGGTCAGGATTATAAGAGGGTCAAGAAGGAGGAACTACAACTATACAAACTTGTCCAAGCCGGCCATGCAGGGGACCAAAGAAAAGTGGTCACCTTGGACAGGTGGTCTCCTTGAAGAGGGTTGCCTCACAACATGACGGCATAAATGGCTTCCAAGTCAAGATGTTCTAATGTCAAATGCTATTGATGCATTTGGGAAGAGTGGCACATGGAATAATTTAGGTTTTACAAAAACATCATCCAGTAGTCGAGGCAAACTGACTAGTTTCTCCATGATTTCTCGTTAGTTATCATTAATAATCAACATGATCAAAACACATGTGGTCACCATGGGCAGGTATCAAGCCTTGAGCGAACTCAAATGAGGGTGGTCGCGGTCGTGTTGTCCAGGTGGTCACCTTGTGTCAATGGGAAAAATTTTGGGGGAAAAGCGGTCACCATGGACAGGTGACCTGCTTGACGATGTGGTCTCCTTGGCAGGTTTGACTGCATAAAGATTTCAGGAAGAGGCTAAACAGACTCCAAAAACAATGGAAGACCTTGATGAAGGTGCAATGAAGAAGAACAAGAGTCTGGAGTTACTTGCAGGAGTCAAACTAGGGACACTTCACTGGAGATGACCAGTTCAACATCTAGATTTGCCCCTGATACATACATGTACTAAGTTTTAGTGTAATAGATGAATACAATATCTAAGGAGTGATGAAGGTTGATAATAAAACTCTGTACCTATACAAAGGACAACCTTTACCTTTTACCTAATATATACAAAGCAGTAATGTAAATCAGCAGCAAACATTCTATGTTATTTTTAAAGTTTATTACTTTTACAGTCGCGTGTCAGTTAGAAATGTTGAGTTAGTACACTTACTCATTTTGTTATCATTGGGAGACAAAGCATGCATTTGTAGTTGTAGTTGTAGTTGTGTTATCTTAGTGGAACTGTTTTCAGGCATGAATTCACATGACATGTTTCCCATTGTATAATTTCAATACATGTATAATAACTAGTAGGACACACTCAACACAAGGTCTGAAGTTCAGTGATTTTATTGAAGCATTTCTTAATCTGCTTAAGAACTGCCAGTGAAAAAGCTGTCTTAAACTACCACGCCCATAACTTTATAAGTGCCACAACTTCCTGGGAAATAATATACTGTAGTCAAGAGACTGAACAAACATTCCACACTACTATAATTGCACTCTTTTCCACAGCTTTAGATATTGGCACTGTTTTCACAAGTCTGTTCCTGCAAGTAGCTAGCCAGGAGTTTAAGGTGGCCTAGTGTGACCTGCTTTGCTTTCCTGAAATTCATCTATAGTTCAGCTGTAGACCTCTGCTGGCACCTGTGGGAGGAAGAATGAAGAATATAATTATATAATATATGTTATTCCTATGTTATAGCATATGTTATTCATATGTTATTCAGTCCATACCATGGTATGGATGAAATATATTGTGTTCTCTGATGTTTCTTCTCCTTCTCCTCCTCCTGCCAAACAGTCAAAGGGATTCAACTCCGCCATCATTCAGCCAAATGACTTGAAATTTGGCATGGAGGTAGAGTGGGCCAATACCCCCAGGTCGTTTTTTTTTCATTTTTTTGATATATGCCTTTGAAAAATTTTTATGGAGGTTTTTTGGGGCATTTTTCGCCAAAAAATGGATTTTTGGATCCTGAGCCCTGGTATTACAACCAAATGATCTGAAATTCGGTATAAGGGTACCTTGAACATGTGTCTACAGAACAACAGTCACATATTTGGCATACACCACTTCCAAATGACTCATTTGGGGGACTTTAATGGCTATTTAAACCAAAAAAAGGGCCAAAAGTGCTATACCCGTTCCATGTTCTATCTAAAGAATGGCACGTTCTATCTGCCGTTGGCCATGGATCAGGTGTTCCATTGCGGGTTACCTGAGGTCACATTGCACCTAAGTGGTGCATAATGACCCACAAATTCAATTTTATGTTCCTAAGACCTTCAAAATGTATCAAATCTCATCATTGTTAGTATTTGCATACCTGTAAGAAGATTAGTAAAGCTTTCGAGATTCAATGTGCTTGTTCTTGCATCTTTGTTCTCAATTACATGGCTACTATATAATTCATTTATTTGAGAATCTTTACCAGTTTTACACTGGGGTAAGTTTGGAATAGTCCACTTTTGCGTGGGAGGGAGATGGACTGACATATGCTGTATTTGCTCCCAAGCAAATGTCGGCCTCTCTTCATATATGTTGAATATGCTATACATGATTTATATGAAACATCATTTCCAAAATGAAATCATCGATGTTTTACTTCAGCAAGCTATGCTATGATAGCTTTTTAAAATCATATTCATCACAACTAGTTGTCATTAATTGTGTAAAGTGTGCGTGTGTGTGTAACAGAGCGTTAATTACACATAGGAACCGTACCAGTAGCAGTAGAGGGATCAACAGCAACAGCAGTGGCAGTAACCACGCGACCAATGGGACTCCGCCACCTCCTGTTGCACGGCCAGTGTCACCGCCACCGCCACCGTCTACAGGTGCTATCTTGCCGTTGACAAGTGGGTCGCTGTACGGGCCATATATGCCGTCCACGGTCTTGGCTCGAACCTAGTCGTAATGCAAAACGTGTTGCCATTTAAAAAATTGAAATAAAATATATTAAAGTCTACATCTAAAGTTGCATTGCAGACTCGCTAAATCATACTCAATGTCCTACACGACGACTTTGAGACACTCAAACCATTTAAACAATCCCTGCTGAGATTAAAGTTAGCATTGTAAAAAGTGTCATTGATGTCAGCTTCAGATCTATATGATGACGTTCCTATCGTTTTCAGATATTATGGAAAAGGTTATAATTTTGACTTGCCCTGTATGTGGAGATATCCGGGTTTGAGTTGAGAACGGTTGCTTGCGTTGGGTTTTTCCCCACATCCATGTACTGCACGTTATCAGGGTTGTCTGTCGGGTAGTACTGTATCTGGTACCCGGTAAGCTCTGCTTTCGTCGGTGGCTCTGACCAGGACAGCGTTGCGGAGTTGTCCCCCTTTTCTACAAGTTTGAGATCCGACACTTTGCCTGGTGCTGCGGAAGGCAACATGATTTTTTTTTCATATTAACCCATATCATCTTTAAATTTTCCACCGGTAAGCAAGGAAGTAGCAACATCGGATTGCAATACCCCTTATTATATATATATATTTTTTTTGTTGAAAACTTTATTCACACAACAACATCATAACAATACATTGCAAATGAACTAACAGTTGGTTTCATATTCGTGAGCACAAAACTGCTTACGATTTTCCTGAAGTTTTCGGTTTACAAAACATGTAGTATACATTGTTTACAACATGGTAAGCAACGTTTAAATTAAGCCTCTCACGGAACATTCATTTTCATATAATATCCGTATACTACCCTTGTAGTCACCATATTTATGCTTAGAAATTGAGAATTTGCCAAGTAGTATCAGTACATTAATATAGTGATATTTTACAATGTCGTGAAGTTTGTAGCCGAGGATAACATCCTGTACAGACAGCAATAATGTGTTTCCGTATTTGATACAATAAAGCTTTTCTACATCTGACCAAATGGGTTTTACAATGTCACAATAATAAAAAAAAAATGTTCAACATAGTCCACAGAGTTACAAAACAAGCATTTGTCATTTTCTGAAATACCTTGTTTATGTAATTTAACTCTGGTCGGATAAACATTATGTAACACTTTCCGCTGTAGTGAACGAATTCATGGTTCCTTTATAACAAGAAATAACGATTTCCATATTGTCTTCCAGGGTGTGGATTGAAAACCCATCCCCTGTAAACGCTTTTCCCAGAAACTTTGGCCCGTAGGCGTGACTGCTTTCCGAAAAAGAAGAATATTTTTGAAAAAAGAATTAGTCTGTATACAAACATCTTTTCCCTGTAGTCTTATCTTAGGCACTTCACTTTCTATGTGAAGAGTACTTCTCCATTTGGGAGGAATAGCATTAAATAGGGCATTGTATTGAAACAATAAACATGGATAATCTCCAACAATATTTTTTCCGCTCCCTTAATGCCATAAAGTGTCCTTGTTTATCTACAATATCATTAATGTACATAATATCTTTTTTGACCCAACTACTGAAATATAACATTTTACCTTTATATGTGATACAGTTGTTGTTCCAAAGAGGTTGCCATGGTACATTTTCATCAGTTATAGCATCTATCAATTCGGGTGCCTTTAAATCATACCAGATTTGTATCAATTTCTGGTAGAAAACAGGTAAGGACTGCATACAGTAGCTAGGTTGAATATGCTGAACACTGCAGTTACATCTAAAGATAAAAAGGTTAGAACCAAATCTATGTAAGTAACTTAACTGAATCTTCTTCCAAGTAGGTAAGTATGCACTACATTGGTATGATAGCTTTTTTATCCATTTCAACATAAACGTTTTATGCATAATTTTTATGTCAGGCATTTTCAACCCACCTGCCGTGTAATCCTGAATTAATACATTACGTTTAACTCGATCCTTCTTCCACAAAAATCTGTAGAACATGAGATTAACATCATTTAAGAACTTGTCAGGTGGTACTAGTACACTTAACAAGAAAGAAAGTTGTGAAGCGATTAAACTCTTAAGTATTAATATTTTACCCAACAAACTTAAGTTTCGGGGGGCCCAGGAAGAAAGAAGTTTTTTCATTTTAAGAATTTTTCTATTCCAATTGGCTTCAATATTTGAGGCACACACAGAATGTGAAAAACTAACACCTAAACATTTTACCGTATCAGTCCATTTAAGGCCACCAACATGTTCATTACAATTTCTAAAGGAGCCGAGCCACATAGCTTCGGTTTTCCCCCTATTAAGAACTAATCCAGAAAAGGACGAAAAATCATTGATAATATCAAGACTGGCTGAAATGGAAATTTTGTCCCCAAGAGTTAACGTTGTATCATCAGCGTATTGAAAAATACGAGATTCCACTTCACTACTATCAAAGGAAGGAAGACATATACCTTTAATGTTAGTTGACTGTCTAATTTTCAAAGCAAATACCTCTACTGCGAGTACAAACAGAAGAGCTGACAGAGGGCATCCTTGGCGCACACCTCTTTCTAAATCGATCCAATCAGACAGAAACCCGCAATGATTAATACAACTTTGTGAGTTTCTAGTAAACACATCAATCCAATGTATGAAATCACTACCAAAATTAAATTTCTTCAAAACATGTAGAATCAAGTCTTTAGAAATACTGTCGAAAGCTTTGCTGTAATCTAGAAAGAGTATTGCGCCAGGAGAATTAGATTCTTTCGTAAAAGATATTATATCATCAATGGCCCTCACGTTGTTTGTGATGCTACGTCCTTTAATATATCCAGTCTGATCCTCACTGACAATATTAGGTATCACATTTTGTAACCTGTTTGCCAAGACTTTGGCGCCTAACTTATAATCAGTGTTGGTAATTGATATGGGTCTCCAGTTCGTAAGCTGGTCCCTACACAAGTCATGTTCATCATTACCCTTAAATAACAAAGAGATAACACCTTTCCTTTGATTAGAAGAGAGTTAACAAAACTTAACAAAACTTTCGTTCAGTGAATCAACAACTAATGATTTAATTTTACACCAGAAAAATTGATAAAACTCTGTTGTCAGCCCATCTAAACCTGGGCTACAGCTTCGCATATTTTTCAAACAAGCTATGCATTCAGAAATGGTAATTAACCCTTCACATGTTTCTCTTTGCATATCAGTTAACACAGGGGCATTTATATCAGAGACAAACTCTTCATATTCATTTAACTTAGATGGCGATTCTTCACGGTAAAGGTTCTTAAAGTATTGTGTTTGTTGGATCAATAATCCTGCTTGATCAGTGATTATTGTACCATCATCCCTCCTAAGACTTGTTATTACATTACGCGCTGCACGCGCCTTCTCCAACCTGAGGAAGGGCGTATCTATACGGAACCACCCAAGGCGGTTTACATGTGGTTACCCCGAAGCCGGTTTCAAGTGGCTCCATCTGAACGCTCCGAAATCACATTGAAAGCGCCTCGATCCCAAGCCACTTCTAGAGGTGGTTTCGAATCGCTTTCCCCGCATCGCGATTTGCGTCTGAACGCAATGTGATTTCAATGTGACTTCGCCTGGTCATGGATTACGGAGTGATATTTCTTTTATTTATATGCAATACCAAATTTTACGTGTCAGCAACTTAAAGAGTAGTAATGGTCAAATAATGTGTCCGTTCTAGGGCGAGCTTCACCGCCTCTGGCGGGACCACGTCGGCATTCGGCCGAGATACGCTGGGAGGGGGGCATCAGCAAGCAGGTCGTTGACCTCTGACATTAATAACACGCCGCCTTGCGTGTTATCATCAAACAGCAATAAATGTAGCTCAAGCGTATTGTGTTCGGACACGGTTTCACAGGTGTGTGTGGCACGTGGACCAGATGTGAGGAATGTGAGTTACCCGAATCGCGCCTTGGGTGGTTCCGTATAGACACGGCCATAATATGCTGTGTTTTTCTCACCCTTCTCAATCCAGGTGGTTTTGGAGCGAATTTGTGCTCCACGTGCCTTATAGAGAGCATGCATTTCAAATTCGGCTTTCTTTTTGTACACCTGTTGTTGTAACGTTGCATTATTTGGATCAGTGGCCAGTTGTTTTTCTAGTCTCATTAAATCTTCTTCTAAAACTTTGCTAGTCATGCGTCTTTCATTAGCTTTTTGTTTGCCGTAGTCAATCGAAAAACATCTAACTTTATTTTTACAATAATCCCAAATCATTTGTTTGTTCTCGATCGACGAGACATTTAGGCCATCTTCGATATTCTCAATAATCTGATTAACACTGTCTACATAAACTTTATCATACGTATACAATAAAGAGTTATTAAATTTCCAGTATGATGAACCCTTATCCTGTTGGGTCACACACATGTCCATCATGACTGCTCTGTGGTCACTACATGGAAAGGACCAAATCTCACAGCTGGTACTTTTATCAAACAACAAATCATTAAGAAAGATATAGTCCAGTCTTCTAGCAATGAATGGATTCTTTATGGACCAGGTGTACTCTCTTTCAACACCATGAAATGTTCTCCATATATCAACAAGGTCATGTTCATTCAAAATATTATTCAAAATTGTCATTTCTGTGCTGTCGTGCTCCCTTCCGGCTATATTATCGAGAGAGTTGTTAAGGGTCGTATTAAAATCTCCAGCAACCAGTACATGTTCAAAATCAGTACAATATTTTTGTATCATGTTCGATACTTGGGAGAGAAACAGCTTTTTACAGGATGGTGTGCCTACACCAAAGAAAAGAAGGAGAAATGTACAAATGTAGTTATCTAGAAATGATGTTAACAAATTACGGAGTAGAAACGATGTTTAGCATTACTAAGTATTATATACATGTACTTGTGGCATTTCTGTGAACACAATAGCACTGTATGGTTACAAATGTAAACAGTTGACAGGTAGAATTTATAGTTAGATCTTTTCATGCAGCAGTACCAAAACAAAGCATGGACAATTGTTTTGCTCAACTGTACTGACTATTGCTGTATGATGCACACTGTAAAGAACTATATATATTATAATTTTAACGTTACATGTGTAAAATTGGCATTTACTCACGTTTTGCAAACTGAAGTCTCCCTCGTTAATATTGGCAACAGCAGTACAGGGTTCCCTTTAACTAGTCTAAGTTAAGAAAACATTCACAAAATTATATACTAGTACATGAGTGATACTACTTGGGGAGGGGGGCTATTTTCCTTTTATATGCACCAATGCAACCGATCTGTCCCATGCTTATGTCGGCCCAAAACGAGGAAAATTGAGGAAACAAGTGCAGTGGAGTTTTTGAACAGGTATGGAAATGCATGCAACCCAAACAACAGTTATGTAACACGTGTGAACACACTGCCGATGCTAATGAGTTGAACGTGTAAAATGGTGTAACATGCATCTAAACATTTGACGCCCCATATTGCTAATAAGAAAGTGTCAGGCTAACGCCAGTTTTCCAGCTCTAAGAGACACATAATTTGTGGTTTGAAAACCACCAGAGTTTGCTCCTGAAAAACTTGTAGTCATACGGAAATATCAAGAAGTAAACGTTACTTACCAGGCTCTTTAATACACATCCGAAGAGAGACCAGCCAGTTTTCTTCGTAATTTCTGCATTCTCGCGGCTAAGAGGTGCTAAAGACTCAACCAATTCTCGCAAGACTCTGTTCGCTACCCTGTAGCAACGTTGTTCCCATTGCAAATGGTTGCATGTGACTATACGTCATGATTTGTGGTGTCAAAGGCCAAAAGTCACAGTGCGCTAGCGGGAACACGGTATTTTCCCATATATGCAAATGAACAGGTTAATTTTCCCATATATGCAAATGAGGTTAGGCGCGGAGCGGCGCGTTCGAACTAAATGTTCCACTCGAAACAGGCGTGTACACAGCATTACTTGTTTCTGACATGGTCTTATCATAAATATTCTCATTTGATGGGTACTTACACCATGTCCACTTGTTGCCATACTTAGTGTACAAAAAGATGCGTATTCCCAAGAATAAAGCCATTGCATCCATTTCTACCTCTGTGGCCCATGCACCAAAGTCTCCTGGACGTTTCCCATTGTGAGCCCAATCCGCACGAGCCAGGTACTGGTCCATGGTTAGTCCTCCGTCGAACCAAGACCTGTAAACATCCTCAGACAATGTTGACATAAAGTGAATCAAGTGCTGCCTTACTACATGATGATACATTTGGGTGCCACAGATATGGTGACTTATGGCTCTATAGAAGCAGTTCCCATCTTTGTCTATTTTGACAAGATCACTAGAACGAGGTGGCTCCAGAGGGACATTCCTTTGCTTCATATTATGGGGTTTTGCTACAGGGAGGTTTAACTGAGCTGCAAGGTGCATTTGATCATCTGCTGTCAATGGGTTAAACATAAACTGTCCTTCCTGACCCTCTCAGGCCCCTGTTACCTCTACTTCTTGCTCAACAGCTGGCCCCTGCCCTGTTACCTCTACTTCCTGCTCATCAGACAGCTCCTCCTCTCTGACCTCTACCTCCTGCTCAACAGCTGGCTCCTGGTCTGTTATCTCGGCTTCCTGCTCATCAGCCAGCCTCTCCACTTCCTGCTTTGCCTTCCACGCACTCAACCTCTTAGTCTTGGGCACTTTCCTACGCCTTGGCATTTCTCCTGAAATTTACCAGAATGTACAAATATTTTCAGAACTATAGTATACATGTTATACTATATAGACGATAAACTGGACAGTGAGTGAGTGAGTGAGTTATATACATTCAACTTTAAAATTTGTTAATGTTATTGCTTGCAGCACGTACCAACATTTCCAAGATTATATGGATGATATGAATGTCCCCATACATGTAAATATACAGTATACCTGTGCAAACTTTTTATATATATGTTCAATGCAATGATACCACACGAGCAATTGCCATTACTTCACGGTAGGCATATATGTGATGTAAACAAAAGCAGCAATCACTCGTATACAAATTCATTTTTAACGGTAGTAGATTTGTTGACTGAGTCTTTCAATATGTTTCACAGGGATGGGGCAGGTGGGCGTGTTTGTGAGGATTCTTCTTGTGAAGCATCTACACATCCTGCCCAGGCAAACTACCCAATAGTTATAAAGTACTTCACACAATATTGACCCAGGGTGAATTTTCTTGCTAGCTCACAGACCATTAATTCATGGACATGTAGTGGAATATAATATAATATGTGGTTGCCGTTATTTAGGAACAATATTGGAAAATCATACACATGTATATCATTCCACATCATGAGTAAAACCCTAAACTATAATTTTATTTTTAAAAAAGTAAAATAACATTCAAAATGTTTTCAAACTATGATGAAATCTCTTAGACCAAGGAAGTCAAAATCAAATCTTTGCAAAACCTCCTTGCTTAGACGATTAGATTTGAAAGGATTGATATTATCAGGTCATCCCCATATAATGTCCTTGCTGCTGTACCTTCGAAAAGAGGAACAAGGCTTCGAAATTCGAATGTACGAATTTCGAAAATTCGAATGCCAAAGTTTTGCCCGAATTTTGGTCGAATCGGTGCTCAAAAAGAACAAAGTCGTTGGCGTTCCCGTTCTGAGTAGTTTGATTTTTTTTCCCGAGCAACAGATAACAAACTACAACACGGTTGAATTCTTAACCTCCATATTTTCACCAAGGAAGTTTTAGTAACTTTTACAAGTCCTTGGTGAGAAATCAGTAAATAAAGAAATATACAAGGGCATGCAAGTCATCCTACCTGCCAAATACTATTCACTAATTTCGGGCATTTGTATTAGTTTAAACAGATAATATGCAGCTCTTATATGTCATTTTTGGGCGGGAAAAATAATCATGAAGTAATTAAACACTCACCTTGCCCTCACGATCTTCGATATTTCTCTTGACAGAAAGCCTCTGAACCGGCGCGACGTCTTCCTAATCAGTCGTTCAGTTGTTTTTTTAAGAAATAAAACAAAACTCTTTCACTGTTCGGTGATAGATTTGGAAATTTCCCGAGAAGAAATGACAGAAAATTTCCTGACCGAAGTCAAAATTTCTAGATTTGGTACGTAAGTATCGTCTGCGGAGTTCTCTTTATGTAAAACCATCGCCGGAGATATCAGAAGGGGTGGGAGGTTTCAGAGTACTATTTTTTAAGTATCACATTGCGTTTATATTTTTGTAAAGACAATTTTTTACGTGTTCAAACTAAGATACTCTGAATCATAAATATATCTTGCCAGGTTTAATGGTATTTGAGACGGAAAAATGATCGTTTATTCCGATTAAAATAAAAAGTTTACCCAGCTTGCAGATGGAAACGTCCATTTATGCAAATCAGATTAGCCGACTATTAACGGGGACATTCAAATTTTTTATATATATAAAAATAGATTTTATTCCACAGTTTTCTTAACAACACAAAATAAGTAAAATTATAAATAAATTTACAATACTATAGTATTAATTTTAATCTATCATTTCTCATAGCTGGAAATTATGAATTTTTATGTTGCACATTTACTACCTACGGAGTAAATGGACTTGGCGAAACCTTTCTTCTTCCGGGTCGGAGTTCCTTCTTGCTCTTGTTTTGATGTGTTTTGCAACTACATGTATATTTTTACGGGGCTTTTCTGACGTTTGACGCTGACTTTGGCACGATATGATCGCACTACCATGTACACGCTACCGGAGGCGGCAGATGAGTGGTCATTTTTACACAATCGTCGAGAAATTTTGACGTTATGCACCCGGAAGTGCGCCGATATCGGTTTGCGTTCTCTCGATTTTCGACAGTTTCCCCCGTCAAAATAAGAAACAAAATTACCGCTATTAAATAGAACCATGTATTGCAATTATCATTTGAACATGATTGATCTATAACATATTCCTTTATAATATTATAAGTATAATATCATAATGGTTTTGGAAAGTCCTCAGCTGGCGAACCATTTAGTCGGCATGTCACGAGTTCTTGCGCCGCGCCGCCGGGAGTGACGAACATTTTCTTACACATATTGTTACCCCTTCCGAAACACTTTGCGGTACCCAGGATTACATAAAATTGAATGTGTGGGTCATTGCGCACGAGTTACGTGCAACGTGACCTCAGGTAACCCGCAATGTTCGATGTGTTCGATGGCCAACGGCAGATAGAATGAGCCATTCTTTAGATCGAACGTGGAACGGGTATAGCACTTTTGGCCCTTTTTTGGCCTGAAATAGCCATTTAAGTCCCCTAAATGAGTCATTTGGAAGTGGTGTATGCCAAACATGTGACTGCTGTTCTGTAGACACATGTTCAAGGTACCCTTATACCGAATTTCAGATCATTTGGTTGTAAAACCAGCGCTCAGGATCCAAAAATCCATTTTTTTGTCGAAAAATGCCCCAAAAAAACTTCATAAAAATTTTTCAAAGGCATGTATCAAAAAAATAGAAAAAACGCCTAGGGGTATTGGCCCACTCTACCTCCTTGCCAAATTTCAGGTCATTTGACTAAAAAATGACAGAGTTGAATCCCTTTGACTGTGTGGCAGGAGGAGGAGAAGGAGAAGGAGAAGAAACATGAGAGAACACAATATATTTCATCCATACCATGGTATGGACTGAAATATAATAATTTAAATTTCTAACCATGAACCAGTTTCAAGTGGCTTCTATACCAGCTAAAGCTCCTTAAACATACATGTGGCATCAAAATCAATCAGAACAAGAACATATTAGTTATTTAAAATACTGTCAACCTTTGCAAAAAATTCCTGGCTCACCATGACCCTGGCTGGAGCAACTGTTTTGATAATAAACCAGAGGAGTATGTTGGTTCTGTTACTGCTATGAAACATGTACTATAGAAATATTGCAGCCTGATCATTTACTTTAGTCTGGTTCACCCACAATCTTCAATTGTTTTCTGAACAGTTTGGAGAACCAACAAATTAGTATGGCCTAACAAACAAACAAATGCAAACACCAGACAGTATTGAACAGGTGTAGTAAGCAATGAAAAATTATTGACTGTTCAATTTGTAGAGGTATCTATCTATCGATGAATTAGTTCAAACATGAAGAAGCACCTGCAAACTACAAAAAGGCAGTATGTATATTACTGGAAATACTAAATAGTCAACACTTAATCAAGATACATTTAATTTGTCCCTATCGTGTGTCCTTTCCTGACAAATCGCATTTATACAACTACTGTGTGTGCAAGTGCGTGTGTGTCTATGTGCTTGTGTGTGTGCATGTGTGTGTGTCTATGTGCTTCTGTGTGTGCATGTGTGTGTGTCTATGTGCTTCTGTGTGTGCATGTGTGTGTGTATGTGTGTGTGTGTGTGTGTGTGTGTGTGTGTGTGCGAGTGTGTGAGTGTCTATGTGCTTGTGTGTGTGCTTGTGTGTGTGCATGTGTGTGTGTGTGTGTGTGTGTGTGCTTGTGTGTGTGTGTGTCTGTGTGCTTGTGTATGTGCTTGTGTGTGTGCGTGTGCATGTGTGTGTGCTTGCATGTGTTTGTGTGTGTGTGTGGTTGGAGTGGGGGTTTGCGGTTGTGTATTTGGGTTAGTGGTTAATACCTCCCCCCAAAGCTAAATGTTTTAACAACATATAGCTTTTAAAAGCCTTAGGTAAGTTATCTTATCTAACTAATGTTATATATAATGTATAATCTTACTTACCTCTTAAATTTTAGGTTCTAACTTAACCCAAATAATCTTAATTCTAACCAGCAGGATAGATAAAAGTACAAAATAAATTATAACATTACTTAGCTTCCTACTACTATGGTAGCTTCTCCATATTTGACAAACAGATCTAAGGGAAAAGGCCTAGGCCAGAAACTGTATATGTTATATATATATATAAGGTGCAATACCTATGAAGGCCCATAAGTACAATTTGAGACCTATTCTTCTTCAGTGTCAGCATTTCTACTTATGGAGTATTTACTCAGTATGTATACTTTTATATAGATAGATATAATAGATATATAGTTTTTTAAAATATACATTTTCATTGAAGACAAGTGAATAGGGGTGGTGTATGTGGCGTAGTGGTATAGCATTCAACTATGAAATGGGGAGATCCGGGTTCGATCCCGAGTTGACCTGGGACATGTCTGGACATGCGCCCCAAATTTGTTCCCTTGGGATAGGCACTATACATGATTTTTCTCACTACACCCAGGTGTGAATGGGCACTTAACTTTGTTTGGGGAAAGTTATATTGAGGTCACCTTACGGCACCTTATTATCCTTGCAAATATGTGTATCATGTGTATTATTTGATTGTTTGAGAATATTTATTGATTATTATGTGATATCCTGCATCAATTCAGCCATATTAAGGCTGCAACTGCATGGGTTCTGTTTGACCAATAAAAACCATTATTTAAATACTTGTACTAAGGGAACGGAGGAAAAAGCGAGAGGTGTCTCGGTAGCAAACTGTCAATATTCTGACAAGGCTACTTATGTTCTACAGAAACGTCTTGACTGTTGAGTGTATGAAGAAATGCACATTAAGCTTTTCAGATAATACAAAAGTGCGGTAATCTGAGAACTTTTCCCTTCATCCTGTTCCCCATCAATGTAATCCCAGATCAATGTAGATGTTTCTCCCTCATATGCATGTAATCTATCATGCTTGTGAGTTCCCTTGATTATATAGGGACTATATACATGTGGGCTAAACTTGATGTGCATTTCATCAAATGCATTTAAGCTGTTTCTATTCCTCATTAGCATGAAAGGTTTGAAAAAAATCCCTGTTGACAAGTTTGCTACCAACTGATCTATTGCTTTTTTACTCCTTTTATTTGTCATATTCTCTTGTCTACATTAAAATTCTGTACATTAAAATTAGACATGCAAGCACTAGACATTCTCTAGTCTAAGCAGATATTCCCACATTAGGATTTGTCTGTAGTGTCCATTGTACTTATGGGCCTTTGTATGAGTAGAGAAGAGTAGGGTAGACTAGTAGAGTAAATTTCTTCGGCCAAGTGTAGGAACATCCGATATGTGTGCAGTGTGCAAGAAGAAATACCTACCAATATTTACCTGATCTTACCTCCTTGCGTATACGTAGTACACATGCCTTCACTGGATGTGATGTTTATATATATATAGTCGATCGATCGAGCACACAAATATTCAAGCTGTAGACATGCTATACTGTCCGTCTGTCATAGTATTTCATCGGTTGATGGTTCCCACGAAAATACTATAAACATAACAAAAAATCTCGTCGCGGCATAATACGTCTAACGTCCTGAATATAACGTTTAAAAATAATAAAAATGTCCGAAAATGCACCAAAATGGGGCGCCATGCCATGCTAGCTAAAGGTCAGATTAATACGTGACCCTAGGTCAGGGTCGCACACCTGATTATACATATAACTGCGCGAGGAGCCTTGTCCCGCCGTTCAAATTTGGCCCCACTATAAACCGTAATATTGTGTATCAGGTGGACATGAAAGCCGCCATATTGGAAAATCTGACGACCTTTCGTCACTCCAGCATGCATTGCTGTACTGGACGGTGACCCCACCAGCATAGAACCTTCCCTCAGACTCGCTGTGCTATCGTGGAAGGTGTACGCTGTAGGACGAGCGTAGTCCTCTGCCCCGATATGTATCGATGGATGGTGGTCCCCTTTCTACGATAGTTATCGTGGAAGGTGATCGAATGGGGTGCAAAGTGCTATGTACAATACATTACGAGTTTCATGCAGGTGCAGTGCGTTCAGCCGACGTGCTGTTTCGATCTACCTAAAATATCACAATATTAAAGGAACTATAAAATAGGAGACACGATACAATGAAGTTATCAATTTTTTTCAGTGAGTCAATATTATATTTCGATAATTATCAGCAATGTCTATTTATTTATTCATACAGTAAGGTACGGTATTTCGAGCAAATGCAGTTAAACTGAAAACAAAACAAAAACATACCGGGGACTGATAGAACCTGGTTTTCTCAGAAATGTGGTCTTCGTATCGAAAAAGCGGTCGGGTGACAGAGCAAAACAAAACACAGATTTGAAAGTTTATGTCCTTTAATAAAATGATTTTACCATAAGAGGTACTAAATATGTTTGCCGCTTACAATTCATACTCAATATACTGCTTATCATTTGTGAATATATAAAACTGAGCACATATACTATTACAGAAATTACGTTGTCACATTTATTTTAAGTTGACGAAGGTGTACATTATCGTCATGGTATACTGGACTTATTTAGTCTACATTAACGTATAGACCATACATAATAAAAGTAATTAATACTTCAGATCTATTGCACTATATATCGCATCTAAGTTTTATCATCCGACAGCAGTTCGATAATACGTGTTATTGTTTAAGTCTGATTATCAATTATCTAGATAAACAATTAAGAAATTGTAAGAAAAAAAGAACTTATGCGCAAAGGATAGTAATTGTTATTGCATCTTATGGTACGAAATTTTCTTAATGTGAAACTGTCATCTGTAGCCCCTTAGTTTCTTTTGATTTAACAGAAACGAAAGGAATTTTTCAAATAAAGCATTCAGAATTCCCTTTCCACTGGGCCGGGGTAAGGTGTTTTTATTTTCCTGCGTTATGCTTTAGTCAAATTTGCACCTTGTCAAGCGTAATTGTGTGTCCGGGTGACATGATATGTAAGTGTTGCGACAATTCACGTACTGGGAGGGGGATGCCTGTGTTTAGAGAATCTAGCCTTGAGGTACCATTTAGTTTCCCCTATGTATGTTCATGTGCAGGGTCTTCTGATGTTTTGTTCTGAGCACCGAATGTGATATATAACCCCACACGTCTGTTCTTTCGGGGTCCTGTGGTGCACATTTTGGTTACGGAGATGGACTACTTTCTGAACCGCGACGGTGGTAGATTCCGTCTTACCGCTACGTTTGATCCTTTCCTGACGTCATCACGTTTCCGACTTCTGGAGAGTCAGCGAGTGCATCATTCATCTGACGAAGCTTGACGAAAATTTGTGTTGAGTTTATTTTTTGTGTTGGAACAGTTTGAACAACAATGTAATTAAGATGGTTATACCAGTGGAAAAAGTTGTATAACTAACTGCTTCCATGAGATGTTCTCTGTGAAGCTATTGAACAATTTTAAAATCATTTTTTTACAGCGACACGCCAGGAACTAATCCCCGTATCCATCATCTGCATGATCCGTTCAGCCTCATCATAGTAGGAGGCGGCCTTTCTGTCATCACCAAGTGAACTCCAGGTGATACCCAAGTTTTGGAGACATGAGTAGATGTGAGGATTTGCGGTGTCCTCACCGTAATAACTCCGTGTTATCTCTAGTGATTGCTCGAAATAGCTGGCGGCTTTCCTGTCATCATCTAACATTCCCCAAGAGGCACCCAAGAAGTTAAGTGTTTCGGCTATGTAAAGATGCGCGATGTCTCCTCTGAAGATACTTCGCCTCATCTCTAGTACATGTTCAAAGTATCTTATTGCCTTCTTGTGATCGCCAAGGCTCCTCCAGGCCTTACCCAAGTTGTTAAGTGATTGGGCGATGTCAGAATGCGCGACTTCCTCACCATAAATCCTCCTCCCCATCTGTAGTGACTGTTCATAAAACCTGACGGCCTTTATGTGATCACCTAACATGTCCCATGTGGCACCCAAGTCGTTAAGTGACTCAGCGATGTCAGGATGTGCGATGTCATCACTATAGATACTCCGCCTCATCTTTAGTGACTGCTCATGATAGCCAACGGCCTTTCTGTAATCACCAATGTTATTCCAAGTGTTACCCAATTCGTGAAGTGAGTTGGCGATGTCAGGATGTGCGCTTACATCACTATAGATACTACGCCTCATCTCTAGTGACTGTTCGTGATAGCTGACGGCCTTTTTGTGGTCGCCCAGTTTACTCCATGCGTTACCCAAGCTGTTAAGTGATTTGGCGATGTCAGGATGTGCAGTTTTCTTGCCATAGATTTTCTGCTTCATCTCTAGTGACTGCTCACGATAGCTGACGGCTTCTTTGTAATGCCCTAAGATTTCCAAAGTAGCACACATGTTGTCCAATGACGTAGCCATGCCAGGTTGCACGGTTCCCTTACTGCAGATACTCCGCTGCATCTCTAGTGCCTGTATGTAATAGTTGTTGCTCTTTCTGCGATCATCAAGGTTACTCCAAACGGCACCCAACAAAACTAGTACCCTGGCGGTGTCAGGATGCGCAGTAATCTCGCCGTAGATACTCCTCCAGTTCTCTAGTGATTGTTCTAAATATCCGACAGCCTTTTTGTTATCACCTAAAGTTAACAAAGTTTCACCCATAATTTGACATGAGTTGGCGATGTCAGGGTGAGAGATGCCCTCACCATAGACAGACCGCATCATTTGTAGTGCCTGTTCATTATAACTGACGGCCTTTCTAACATCACCAAGCTTGGCCCAGGCACCACCCAGGTTGTTAAGTGATGAGGCGATTTTAGGATGAGCAGTGTCATCACCATAGAGCTTCCGCTTCATCTGTAGTGCCTGTTCAAAGTACCTGACGGCCTCTCTGTGATTACCTAATGTTCCCAGGGCGGAACCCAAGTTGTGGAGTGAATCTGCGATGTCCGGATGTGCCTTGTTCTCACCATGGATTCTCCACATCATATGTAGGTCCTGTTCATAGTATCCGATGGCCTTTCTTTGATCACCAAAGTCCATCCAGGCGGAACCCAAATTCCCCAAACACTTGGCGATGTCAGGGTGCGGATTGCCTTTACCATAGATATTCCACCACATCGCTAGTGCCTGTTCATGATAGCTAATAGACTTAATGTGATCGCCGAGGCTCCCACAGACGTTACCTAGGTTGTTAAGTGACGCGGCAATGTCAGAATGAGGATTACCTTCACCAAAGACATGCTGTTTCATCTCTAATGCTTCTTGATAAAGAGAAAGTGCCTTTTTGTAATCACCAAGGTAACTCCAGGAAGCACCCAAGTTGTTAAGTGATGTTGCGATGTCAGGATGTTCCATGCCCGCACCATAGATACTCAGCTGCATCTTAAGTGCCTGTTCAAAATAGCTGATAGCCTTTCTGTGATCACCAAGGTCACTGCAGGTCACACCCAAGGTGATAATTGCTTTTGCGACGGCAGGATGTGCGACACCCTTACCATAGACACTCTGCCTTATCTTGAATGACTGTTTGAAATAGCTAAAGGCCTTTCTGGGATCACCAAGTTTTCTCCAGGCGTTACCTAAGTTACTTAGTGACAAGGCGATGTCAGGATGTGGTTTACCCTCACCATAGATATCCCGCCTCATCTCTAATGCTTGTTGGTGATATCTGAGCGCCTTTCTGTCATCACCAAGGTCACTACAGATGTCACCCAAGTTGTTAAGTGAAATGGCGATGTCAGGATGTGCGATCATCTTACCATAGACACTCTGCTGCATATTTAGTGCCTGTTCATAAAAACTGACAGCCTTTCTGTGATGACCAAGGTCCCTCCATGCGCCACCCAAGTTGTTAAGGGACGCGGCCACTTTAGGATGAGCGACGCCCTCGCCGTGGAAAATTCGCTGCATTTGTAGTGACATTTCAACATAGCTGACGCCCTTTGTTCTGCATTTGTGATCACCAAGAAAATTCCAGGCGGCACCCAAGCTGTTAAGTGAGTTGGCGATGTCAGGATGTGCGATGCCCTCACCATAAATAATCTGCTTAAGCTTTAGTGACTGCTTATGATAGCCGATGGCCTTGTTGTAGTTACCAAGGTCACACCAGCAATTACCCAAGTTGTTAAGTAACGAGGCGATGTCAGGACGTGCGATTTTCTCACCGTAGGTATCCCGTAACATCTCCAGTAACGTTTCATGACTGCTGACTCCATTTATAGTGTCACCGATGTTTTGCAAGGTGGAGTCAGGATGCTTTGCGCTCTTCTGCTTCTTCGCCTGTTTCAATCTCATCATCAGTGCTTGTTCATGATAGCTGACGGCCTTTTTGTAATCGCCAAGGTCCCTCCAGGCAGCACCCAAATTGATAAGTGAATAGCAGGCGATGTCGGGATATGCGATGTCCTGCCCATGGATGTCCCACGTCATCTTTAGTGCCTGTTCATGATAGCTAATGGCGGTTTTGTGATCACCAAGGTCCCTCCATGCGGTACCTAAACTGATAAGTGACGTGGCGATGTCAGGATGTGCAGTGTCCTCACCATAGGTACTCCGTAACATCTGTAGTGATTTTTCATGATGGCTGACGGCAGTCTTAGTCTCACCGATATTTTGCAAGACGTAACCCAACTTGTTATGTAACAAGGCGATGCAAGGATGGTGTGCATCCTTCCCATGCTTAAGTAGCATTTGTTGGAGTGCCTGATCAAAGCATGTCTTTGATTGTTTGTAGTGACACATACTTCCATATACTTCGGCTTGTAGTAGAGAGGAGTTGTCGAATAGTATCGAGGGCTCTTTTAAAGTACGGCCGTTGCTAAGTTGCGACACATGGTCCTTTAAAGGCATTTCCGTATAGTAGTATCTCATGAGCTGATTTATATCAGGAATGCAAAATACGTTCTTTGTTTTTACCTCAATGTCATCATTGACAGATATTGACGACAGAACTGACATATTTTCAACTTGACCACGGTTATTCATGTATGTCCGCAACCTCAGTTCTGCCGAGATGCTGACCAGCACCATCAAGTGATGCGAATTCTCATCACTGATGACTCCTTTCTCGTACATCTTCTGGATAGTCTCCCAGATTGTTGTCGGCTGTATGTCACAAAGTAATGCCCACGAAGTAACTGCAAGGCTTGAAAAGCGGTAGATTTGTTTCTTCACATCCAACAGCTTGGCACTCAGCTCCTTAGTTTCAAATGTTTTAGTGTTCTCCTCCAACGTGGTGATTGCAAGAAGCCTGGCAATTTCACTTCCATTTTGCTTCATTTGCCGATTCCAAGCAGTGGTGTATTCATCCACCAAGTCTTGCTCTCCAGTGATCAATGAGACATTTCCCAAGACACTCGCTAAGTGGTAGCCTTTCTTTAGATAGAGCTTAACGTCATCTTCTATAATCTTGGCCATGTCACTTGGTGTGCGAATAAGGAGGGAGTTTTTGCCTCTGCCTATTGGGGTTTTACATGCGTGTGGCATGGCTCCATCGAACGAAAAACCACGCGGTGTTACAGAGTCGTAGAACCAGCTGTCCTCCAGCTTGTTATCTGACTCAAAATCGTTGAGAGACTTGATGGCCATGGCTGGGAGAATGGTTTCTCCTAGATTGATCACTTTTAGATGAAGATAATGGGTGAGATTATAAAAGTATGTCACACTTTCCCCTGTTTCCTTTTCTATCAAAATAGCAAACTCCAGATCGGAGTATGGCGTTACTAGCCCTGTGGCATGTGAACCCAGTCCTACCATTGCGTACTTACAGGGAGGGGGACCCATTACCTCTATACACTCATCTACCAGGCCAGCTATGAATGTTCTACGCTGATGAACAATGGTGTCAAACAGAGCTTTGATTGCCTCTACTCTCTTCTTCTCTACTTTCTTCATTCTCGGGTCGTTATCGTCAAGGCTGTAAGGATCTATCTGTTTCTCAATTCTGTTGATCTCTTCTATTACATAGCAGCGACATTCTGATAACATCGATTTGTGTTTCTCTATGTCATCGAGGGGTACAATTTGTTCAATACTCAAGACATACTTAACAAATGATTGAGTAATAGCCTGGACAGTTTGCTTAATACCCTCTTTGCCTTCTGTCTTAGCTCTCACCAGTGCTGCGTTACTGAGTGCTGCAGCCTTGGTGAAGTCATTTCCGTCTTTTGACTTCTCTCCTCTCTTCAGATAAACATCGCTTAACTTGCAGAGGGGCTCTACCTCTTCGAAGTGTTGACCTGCATGAAAATATATACAAAACGATCATCGCAACTCACTTTTTTTTATTCCCACAATCATTTTTTTATCTTCAATTAAATGTTAGTTGAAACAGTTCGTGTTACATAAACCGACAATCGTGCGGTTTTTTTTTAAATTGGCTTTACTAAATTAGCTGTAAAAATTCCTGAAGCTGCCAAATTATGACATGTACACGGAAACGTTTACCTTTAATATGGACGGCCTTGATGGCTGCTGCAAAGTGCTGTTCTGCAGTGTTTAGGTATCCTGTCTGCAGGGCCCTGCAGCCCTCCTGCAGCTGGTCTTCGTACGTACTGTAGAAAAAAGTCATTGCGACGTTGTTACCTTTTCGACTTAAAAAAAAAAGTCTTCAACTTATTTGAATATCAATCAATAGTTTGGGCTTATAAACCTGTATTTCTCCTCTGGTCTCTTAGTCACTTACGAAAGCTAGTAGATACTACCTGAAACATCTGACCGTTTCCTAAATCATATCCAGTTGCTTGAGTAACTGTTTTTTGGCGTATCGTATTACCTGGATGTCTAACCTTCATCGAGGCACTAGTAATGCGCTAAAGATCTATATTAACGAGATTGGCTAATTGTCTAACTTTGTTAGTTCGCAGAAAAGGAAGTAAATCTCAGTAACTCACCTGTCTGTGACTTCCGGTGTCTCTTCATTGTTGGTTCCAACTTTATTGTTCATGGTTCGTCTCGTTTCTAGTCGATTTTCGGCCTTCTATAATGATATTAGGACAGATGTAAGGTCAAGGCAGTAATAAAGGGCTAATGCCTCACCCCGAGGTGTATATGTTGAGTAATCCCTGGTCAGGTGCGATAACTATCAAATAAACCACCAAGTGAGCGTAGCGAACGAGGTGGTATATCAGGAGGTTATCTCATCTGACCAGGGGTTACTCACCATATATTTAACAGAAATTCCTTTATAAAGTACTTCCATTGCAAACAAGCCTCTCACATTCTGTCTTATGTAAAACAAGATGGGGTGGGCAGAAAAACGGACCCTCTAAGCAATCATCTGCGGTGACCATGTGACATTGAAACAGTTCCAATTTCAGTGGGGATGTCAACAATTTTGATTTTTCCGTTTAAATTTCATTTAGATATCTTTGATTGTTTTTGCTGCATTTTAAAAAGAATTATCAAACATAATCTTCAATAAGTTTTAGTAGATAAAATAAAGCAAGTCTTAAACTACTGTCAGTGCCTACATGTATATAATGATAGGATGAAAAAAGTGGTCAGTTATTCTAATAACTTTTGAGGTTAAGGCCTGATAACCATTGTAATATCCCCCCAGCCCCTCTATAATGTGTAATTACAGGCTGGACAGTAATAGTATGTGAGAAAAAATAGAAACATGGTAATTACGAATATACATGTAATATTCCCCCTCTCTCATATCAAGTTACAAGAAGAACAGTAATAGTATGTAAGGAAAAGTGGGAACATGGTAATTAAAATATACATGTAATATTCCCCCCATATCTAATTCCCAGTTACAAGAATAACAGTAATAGTATGTAAGAAAAGTACGAACATGGTAATCACAAGTAATGTAAGTATTATCTCTGCCTCCCCTATCTAATGTCTAGTTATAGGCAGGACAGTAATAGTATGTAAAGAAAAGTAGGAACATTTTTATAACGAATATACATGCTACTATTCTATATCTAATGTCTAGTTACAAGAAGAACAGCAACGGCATGTAAGAAAAGTAGGAACATGGAAATCACTCAAGGATATACATGTAATACCCCCCCCCCCAATCTAATATATAGTCACAGGCTAGACAATAACAGTATGTAAGGAAAAGTAAGAACATGGTAATCAAAAATATACATGTAATTTTCTCTCCCTGTCGCCCCCGATCGAATATGTAGTAACAAGAAAAATAGTAATACTATAAAAGGAAGAGAAGGAACATGGTAATGACGAATATACATGTAATATTCTCTCTCTTTCTTTTCCCCTACCTAGTGCTTAGTTACAAGATGGACAGTAATGAAACATTAATGCACCGCCTTATCCTCGGTGTATATGGTGAGATAATCCCTGGTCAGGTGTGATAACCACCGAATAAACCACCAAGTGAGCGTAGCGAGACCAGGGATTATCTCAACGTATACACCGAGGATAAGGCGGGGCATTAATTTTATCATCATATAGCCTATGCAATTTTTTTTTTCATCCGCCTTTCCTTCCTTCAAGCTGCTATTTATTTGCAAAATGAGCACTGTAAATCATAATTTTTAACGATCCACAAATTTTAGTGACTTTAGCGGTCAAGATCCACCGCAACTATTTCATGTAATTGCCCATTTCTGCCCTGCCACCACTACATGCTCGTTATGGTACACTCACAATCACGGTTCCTTTCTTGACCAGGACACGCATATAATATATACTAGTGATTCAATCAGGGACAAGCAAAACACTACAGTAAATATTCTTCCGGAAATAAAACATTTATCATACAGAATGTGTGTGTCGCCATTTTATTCACAAAATGCAGTGTGTAAATATACCATACCACAGTTACCTCAGTTATATTGACATGTGAGGCGTCGTTACGGGTATTTACAAAACATACATACTAGAGTACTACGATTTAGGAGTTTCTCCGTAAATTAAAAAAACAGCAAAGTGTTCATCTTGTGCTGCAAGGAGACAATATCAGAAACAACTAGAGTTCGTAGGACTCATGCCTTCGACTGTGTGATATTGTTTAGGTGGGTGTTTTTGTTTGTATATGGTAGTATTTTTGTGTAGATGTTTATTGTTGTTATTGATGATATTTATAAGTTAGTACAGTGATAAATAGCACCCGGGACTGCAGGACTGAAACATAAATAGGACCGGGACTGCAGGACTTAACGGTATGCCTAAATACCTCAACCGTTACCTCAAACGGCCTCAACCGACCGCGTAATGGGTTAATATGCAGTATACATGGGCTAACAACCTTTTCCAACGCTCTGGATACATTGTCTATGCTTGTATGAATGGAACAAAAACTGTAACTCTGACGTATTTACCAGTTTTTAAAAGTTATTCATCGTTGGGCCTGCATGGGGAATCTCTGGACACATTTTGCTTTATACAGGCAACAGAACGCAAAAATGATGGTTTATAAAGCACAAATACTATCATAACCAACTCATAATAGCTATATACAGAGTGTTTTCCAGTCTGACATCCAAGCTGCTAAGCACGTACGCCTACCGGCTTGACCTCCATTGACCCCATTCGGGGGTGGGGGTGGCTAGACAGATCATTTATTTCAATAGTTGCATGTCGATCTCTTCCTTCATGCTTTCAACTTTCATTCATACAAGCATAGACAATGTATCCAGAGCGTTGGAAAAGGTTGTTGGCCCATGTATACTGCATATTAACCCATTACGCTGTCGGTTGAGGTCGGTTGAGGTATTTAGGCAGACCCGGACTTAAGGGGATTCAAGGGTAAGGACTGGAACTTCAGGACTGAGGTTACAATTGGGCCTGCAGGACATAATTGAAAGAATTGATAAATTCTTCACGAGGTTACATATGAAGTTGACAATTAAGCCCTCAGTCTGTTCTCATATGGAAATTAATGTAGTGCTGAGGGCCTGTTTTACTTGCTGACTATGTAACTTTTCCACCACTTCAACTTGCTTTTGTGTAATTGGAAACCGAATACTTGCCCCGTATTTTATGTGTCATCTTAATGAATGCCTTGCACAATATAGTACCATGATATGGATGTTATATTATTCACAGACATGTGTGCATTACCACCCCACCCACCCCCGATGTTATATTGAACGGTGCCCATGTGATAGACAGTCAGTGTACCAGATGTGTCACGTGGATCTGCCCTTTGCCCTTAAAAACAACCCATAGTTTCTTTAAGCGATCTGATGAAAGAGTCAGGCTAAAAGGCTGGTGGTTTGTGAAACAAAGAGGTAATGTTTTAGTGAGTCAGGGGCCAAAACCCTTCTTATTCTAAAGCAACTAATGTAATCATTGGTGAATTCACTGACAAGCATATAGAAATCACACAGAATGTGGTGGTAATGGTTAAACATCCAAGTAATAAGATATGCAAAATAACAGTTACTTATAACCAACTGGATATGATTTTAAAAGCGCCCAAGAAAGTGTCATAACTAGCATCTATTTTGATATACAGTACTAACTTGTCAGGCCTGTTGCCTGAACAAATATATTAAGACTTTTGTTATAAGGACACTTCACGGGTGCTGTTGTTTCAACAAACTCTACACGCTGCCAGTGTTGTTTTTACCTGAATCTAGTTCACACTATCTATACCTACTACATAGAATGAACAGAGACCTTCCTATCTAGTTTTGTGCTAAAAACAAACCAGACGACAAATACTTCTTTAAAGTGGCTCAACTACCGTACAACTTTTAAAACTAAACGCATAACTAGTCATGTTAAACTTACCATATAGTAAAAACCGTGCACTTCGAATGCTGTCTAATGGTCCACTAATTACAAAAAGTTTAACAGGCACTTGTTATGTTCTTTCAAACACTTTTCATTATACCTATTTGTAATATACATTACTACCTTGCTTTTTCCAGGGTAGCTTCGCTTCTTAAAAGAACACTTCAGGATTACTATTATTTCAACAAACAACTCTAAACCCTTGCTGTCATTTTGTTACCATAACCTACTTAACCCTGACTACACTGTCCTATATACAAGGACAAAACCTTTGCCTATACTTATAAAGGGAATAAAAATTGTTCTATTATATCAACACACAGACTACGCATGACATATAGATTTCTCTATTAATTACTCACAATTTACATAATGAAATTTTTTTCCTCTTGATTACATATGCCACCATTTTAATTGTTTAATCACAGAACCCAGCAAATATATAGACTTCTGTCTTTAATTATGTAACTGAATCGTCATTAGCAAAATATTCTGCAAATTAGGTCAAGCATCACTTAAGCTACCGAGATACCAAAAATAACAACAATCCGTCAACCGGTTCTTGAGCTATCCTACTTCAAACATTTTCAAACAAATGCCTCTGTATTTCCCAAACAAGCTGCTACGGGGCCCAAACTTACGGCACTTCTTTCTGAGCACAAGAGCTACCTACCATCTAAAAATCATGACCCTAGCACGTTCATATCACGAGATTTAAAAACCAGAAGTTTCGCTGCAGTACTTTCTAATTCAATGACGTGGGGACCCCCCACGAAGCCCATATCCGAACTTGACCTTGGTATTGTCAATGGTAACTTGCCAACTAAAAAACATGAACATCCATTTAAAGATTCTCGAGTTATCTTGATGACAAGAAAAAACACAAAAAACAAAGGTCAACTGCAGTGACATAGAAACCCCCACGGGGCCCATCTTTGAACTTGACCTCGGCATTTTCAACGGTAACTTGCCCACTAAAAATAATGAACATCCATTTAAGGATTCTCGAGATATCTTGATGACAAGGAAAAACACCAAAAACCAAGGTCAACTACAGTGACTTAGGAACCCCCCACGAATCCCATTTTTTGCCTGGACAATGGCCACCTCTAAATCAACCTGCCTGCCAAAAATCGTGAACCTCGGACCTTGCCTTCAAGAGTTATCGTGCCTAATCTGCCAAACAGTGCAAACCCGATTTCATAACCTTCTCCGAAGGCATAGCCTTCAGTCGAAGGCAATGAGACTACTAAATTCCCA